TATATATATATATATATATATATATAGGGTCGCGCTCCGATGAGAATGACTCTTAATGCGAGAAATGGGAATAAATCGTAGCCATTAGATCATCTGATCTAATAGCTTAAAAAAAGTCAAAATTACACATTCATTAAAGGCAATGTAGTAATTAGCACAACACACCTCCTTTCCATATTAAATAACCTGGCAACCACTCTCACACACACCAACACACACCACACACACCAATACGCACGCACACCAACACACACAGTCAGCCACCATCTTCACCACCTGCGCCGCCGCCCCGCCACCATCTCCGCCACTGGAATCCCCACAGCGCAGCAATCACCGCCGCCAGCTACACACACAGACACACTAACACACACACACACACATTCACAAATACGACGCCCATACACAGACACCGCTGGTCATCAGCGCCACCCTCCGATTGCCGGCGCTAGCCGACGTTCGCTACCGCTGGAAGCCGCCGAAATTCACCACTGTAGGATCCAACGGTCATGGCTTCACAAGAGCTAAGCAGATCGGCCATCTCCTCAGCGCCATCCACCAGGGCCGCCCACGACCGCCATCTATCCCGCCGCTCGACGCCGCTCGCAGCCTCCGGAATCCTCCATTAATCCTTCGAACGGACATGGCTTCACTAAATAAAAGCAGATCGACCAGCTCTTCAGCGCCATTGACCAGCGCCGCCAACGACCGCCGTCAATCTGCCGCTCTTTACCACCTTGTCATGCCGCCGGGCAAGATGGCCGATGTGCAATGTCCAGTGACGGGATGAAGAATGAATTTGGATTGTGGGGTATTTTCTTTGAGAATTTGACAATTTCAAAGGATCCAATTGCAATTTCAATATTTTTACTAAAGTTCAATTTAGTCCTTGGGTCTAATATGAAATTTATGAAAAAATATATAAACAATATGCTCTTTGAAACAACTAATCTTCACAAGGGGATTTTTTTGAACATTTTTTTATGCAAATATATATTGTTCATTTTCAACAAAAATACATATAAAAATATTGAATAAAAATATTAAAATACTAGATATATTTTATAATATGATTAATAAATTAATTAATTTATTTAGGTTAATTTCATTTATCTTCTTAACCAAAAATACTATAAAGTGGTAAATAAAAAATGTAGTGCACTTTATAAAAAAAAAAAATGGTGCACTGTATAAGACAACATGTTGCACTTTATAACACGGCACATTGCACTTTATAAAACGATACGTTGCATTTATAAGACGACAAGCTACATTTTTATCACCAAACCCCACAATTAACGTTAATAATTCCGCCAAAATACCATACAACATAAATTTAAAAAATGAATCTACATAATATTTTAACATCCACCACATCGTTTGTCCGCATAAAACACAAGCACGCTAATATACCAAAATTATGGTAGTGCACTTTATAAATCAACACGTTGCATTTTATAAAATAATACGTTGCACTTTATCAAATAGCATGAAAACATGAATTTTGAATTTGTTTAGAGTATTTTCAAACAAAAATAATATAAAATGTTAAATAAACACATTAACATATATAATATATTTTTTTCAACCAAAAAATATCAAATATATTTTTATATATAAATAATAAATTATTTTAATTATTTTAATAATAAATTCAAACTAGAGATTTTAATTTATTAAAATACGTTGCACTTTATAAAATAATACGTTGCACTTTAGAAAATAACACGTTGCACTTTATAACGACTATTAGATTGCACAATAAAGAGCGAAACCGACCGAAAAAAAAAAATCAGCCAAAAATAATATGAAAATAATAAATAAAATTATTAACATAAATATAATTTTAATATAATAGTATAATTCCATTAACCGAACCTAGTAAACCAAATATTTATGTTCATTTTCATATTAATTTGGGACAAGAGATCGGTTGGTTCAATCTGCACAATACAGACCAAACCCGTGCACCATAGTGATGGACGAATTACACCTTAACAATTATTAGATTGCACCGTATATTCCGTTTACATATATACAATTTTTTTAATTAAAAGATAATAAAAACAATATTAAATACTAATCATTTTTTTTACAACAAATAATATAATTTATATCGGTTATTTTGATTATTTATGTTAACTGAAAATTTAAACCGATTATGTTGAAATCAAAATTTTCATTTCGAATTTTAAAATTTCGGTTCAATTATCATTTTTTACATTAAAAAACTCGATTATGTCTATTAGTTTTTGACGTTTTCTTTGATTTTATTTAGATAACAACAAAACTCTATTATTATTATTGTGTAAAAATATGCGACATAACCAAAATTTTCATTTCGAATTTTAAAATTTCGGTTCAATTATCATTTTTTACATTAAAAAACTCGATTATGTCTGTTAGTTTTTGACGTTTTCTTTGATTTTATTTAGATAACAACAAAACTCTATTATTATTATTGTGTAAAAATATTATTATTATTAGCCTTTAATTTTTAATAAATTGTAAAGGTGTAATAAACACAATCTTGTGTAGTGGGCTAACTAATTTCCTAGCATATTCTTGGGCTCATATAAAACACACATACATGAGTCCATTTGATTTTGGGCTTTGAGATGTACTAAAAATCATGAAGTCAACATGGGCCACATTATGAGTATGACTTTTTGGATTAGTCTCATCTCAAATATCCTAAATTGCATAAAGGTCCTTGTGAGTTATCTAATTTTCAAAAGTAAGACCTTAGCCTTAAAATCAAAGAAAACGCCACTGTTCTTCGTCCGTCACTGTCAATGGCCTTTCAGCAGCGCCCGATCTCGTCTTCCGGCTCTCGTCATGAAGAAATTCTGGAAATCGAGCACCGGATCTCCTCCGCTTGGTTCTCCGGCGAGAATGGCAAGCTCGATTCCTATTTATTCTCGGCGACGGAGATACACGGCACTCAGTGGCCATCTCGGCGGCGTCCGAAGCGGCGGCTCGTGGCGTATTTCGGTGGCCATGAGCAGCAACGTATGGCTTGGACGTCTTCTCCGGTTGATTCTCGTCGGAGTTTCAGAAACTCCACCTTGGCCGGCGAGTCTCCGACGAGATGGAGGAACGGGTCATATTGTAGACGGCGGCGGGAAGCTAGCGCCGGCCGGCGACGGGGTGGCGGACGGCTGCCGGATATTGGATGCAAAGTGTATGTGTGTGTGTGTGTGTGTGCCCGTCTTCATGTGTAGTGTGTGTTTGTGTGTGTGTGAGAGAGAGAGAGAGAGAGAAAGTGTAATTAAGTTAGATTAATGGGGATGGGACCCACTATGAGTTGGCATTGACTTTGATTTGTGGTTTGTGTAATGACAATTGTACCCTTAATTAGTTGTCAAATATGTACATTTGACTACAATATATGTTAAATTACTATATTGCCATTAATGATTGACCATATTTTGACTTGATCATGACCATTAATATGTTGGATCCAATGATCCAGAATCATTCTTATTTCTTTCATTAGTTCTCTTTCTCATATGATCCCTTCTCTCTCCCTCTCTCTCTCTCTCTATATATATATATATATAGATTAGACAAAAATGCTACACTAATTTTTTGGGTACATTTCTACACAATCATTGGCACTTTTTTACATCAATTTTTAATTACAATTGTCATACTTAAATATGCAGTCTTACCAAGTCAAGATGTTTTTTAAATGTGGTAAAATGCTTAAATTATGTTAGGGAGATATTTTGATCTGGAAATCTTTCAACCCCAACTCCTAATTTATCTTCACGCATACGACTAGAGTGTCAAATCCCTTTCACTTTCCTTTTTAAATATCGGTCCCCCATCAATGATTTCCATCTCTCTCCTTTTTGTAAAACAACCAACTTGACGGTGACAACCGAGATAAGGGAGCTCCCGTGGTTGGCGGTAGCGATGTGACGAGCGGAATTGATATCGGAACTAGCTTGCGTCGGGATCAAGGTTCGGTGGACGAGCTACTCCGACAAAGGGACGAACTGGCACCAAACAAGGTTCGATGAACGAGCTACTGACCCGATTTGCGACGGCTAGGCTTTAGAAGCGTGGGTCACCAGCGAGTATCGACTAGCAATGCAGCGAATCAGTCTGAACAGAGGCAGCTGAAGGTGGTGACCTTCAGCTGATCCATATGGCTCCGATACCGAGCAGCGAAGTTAAAGTTCAACTTGAAATTTGTCAAACAATGGTGAATTAGGGGAACAGCGGGGCACCAGGATGAGTGGTGACGAATTCAGTTTGGACAGAGGCCTCTTGTGATTGGATATACATGTATCCTTGAGTTTTTCGTTGGCGCGACTTATATTTTATGGGTTGATGTTATTTGGGGATTAGTTGGATAATGTATGCATGCGTCTTTGTTTATATACCATTTATGTATATATTATGGGTACAAATGATTTTTTGTATTCATTTTAGTACTGTGATATTATGATATGCTTATTTTTTGGTTTATACATTCAAATTTCATACATCTCTCGTTTTGAATCTCTGACTCAAATTACCTACACCCGGCCAAAGAAAGTAAACAACAAAACACTATAATTACATTTTATATGTAATTTATAAATTGTATAATAGAGAAAGGAATTCTCAAACTATTTGTTTAACTCTCGTTTATAATCAGTACATTATTATTACTTTGTAACATTATGATTTTTAAGCTATACATAAATATTTTGTAACCGGTCTGAGAATCGGCCACGGACACGTGGCGGGCAGGAGGATTGTCACGGGCCCGATCTCCACGCAACTCGGGCTCGTTGGGGTTATCTACGGTATCGGTTGACCGGCGTCGACAGTGGTCAGGCCGCCGCCAGCGGTGGCTCCGACTCCAGAATATATCATCATTTTAAAAAAAAAATATTCATCTCATAATCAATAAAGATACCGTTTCCAAAAGGTATGTATCTTTTTTTTTGTCGAAACAGCAGATTCATTGACTAAAACACATAATTACAACAGACTAACTAGTTGGAATAGGAGGACAACCCGAGGCAGCCTAGATACCACAACACAATACAAGACGAAAAAAAAAAATAAAAAAAGCCTCCTAGAGGAGAATACACAAGCTGCCCACAGGAGAACAACACAAGCTCTCCACAAGAGAATAACACGAGAATACTCACTCCTCAAAAGGAGAAAAAACACAAAACAACAGAACACAACCTACTAAAACATCACAAAAACAAAAAAACCCTAAGACAAAAAAAAGCTAACATAATAAGGCTCTCCACTACTGCCAACAACAACCGTGCCACACTTGCGAACGGCCACGACCTGAAGACAGAAATCCTGCCTAGCTTAGATCTAGAAACTGCAACAGAGATCTAACTAAATCAGAACCTAAATGAGCATAATCGCCGTCAACGAGAGTCACTCCGCTCCTCACTGAAAGCCCAAGCCAGAGAAGCCCACCAACACCAAACCGGTCAGTTGTAGTCGATCCCACCTTCGACAACCCTCCACCACGACCGTCGAACCACCCGCCCCAGCACCTGGAGATGGGGGGTTCTGGAGAGCTCACCCGACCACGAACTTAGCCATTGTCAGCCCCAGGGCAGCAGACGGTGTCGGCGACCACAGACCACTGAGAAGACGCCGAAACCCCCACCAACGCACTGCCATGTCCACCGGGAGAGGAGATATGTCGTGTCGGGCTGCAGGGGACGCTTGAGAAGGAGGCTCGCAGGCCCCCCCAGTGAGAAGAGGCACCGCGAGGAGGCCGACATCGGCTGTAGAGAGGCAAGCGCGAGAGAAAAGGGGGAAGGAGAGAAAAAATAATTGGGAAATGTTTGTATTTTAACTGGGAAAAGAGATTATAAGATAAGTAATTGATATATGTGGAAATATAATTCTTTTGTAATATGAAATTGTAATCCAAAAAATCACCTAACATAAATAAAAACTAGAAAATATATTATGGATATTTGTGTGTTTTACCCCATTCATTACCCACAGTTATTAAATCTAAAATATATTATCGATATTTGTGTGTTTTACCCCATTCATTACCCACAGTTATTAAATCTAAGCCTCAAAGTTACAGCCCACCACAAAATTGAGGGCCGCCTCTCTCTATGAACAAAAGGAATGCGCGACTGCTTGTGTATTTTAATTTTTGCATTGCAAGTGCGAATGTCCTTTCTTGTTAGAAGCATGATAAGATCATTTGTTAATTACTACAAAAAATTATAAATTTGTGAACAAATATTTAATCTTAAATAGATGTGGTTGGGTGTGCAATCTGAATTATGACATGGGGTACAAATGATTATTACTGGAATTAATTTGGACAACTACGTACATCTTTAGAAAATCTCTCCACGACCCGGCCCGTTCATTATCCACCCCAATTGGCCCAGACCACCTTCATCTTTTTAGGCTAAAAAGGAGAAAAAGAAAAATGACGAAAAGACTAAATATTAAATTCTTCTGTAAAAGACTAAAAGTCTGTTGTCAGGCAAATTTTGTCTAAAGCTCTATTTTTTCAATAATATTTATGCTTGTGTCATATTTTAAAAGCAACATAAGGAAAACTATGTTATTTCATAACATAAATATAGAGAAAATTATAAATTTGGTTCCATTTGTTTCAGCGATTCACATCTTTAGTTCCAAAAATGTCATTTATGATCCTTTTTATTTTTTCATTGCAAAAATGGTCCTACAACCCTTAGAAATGATGGGGCTCACGTGAAAACGTTAGATTGGACCNTTTTCAAAAAAAAAATGAGTTCTTCAAGTTCGTCTATAAGAGAAGTCAGATTATTTTGATGATTAATTCAAAAGTAGAAAACTGACTTTTTTGCTTAAATAGTTTGACTTACTTTTAAAAGAATTTTTTGAATGAAATTTAAAATTAATAGGGCTCACGTGCAAGACGTTAGCAACTTTTGGGACCAATCATATGAGACAATTTTTGTAATTTCATATTTTTTAACTTGAAAGTCGAATTAGTCTCTCATTCACTCAAAGACGAAATAACATAATAAAATTAATTTACTATGGATATGATGCAGAAATAAATATTAAAAATAATTTTATAAGAATAAATATCGAGTTAATATTAAATTAGTTTTATAAATTAAATATTGAAAAATATGAACTTGATTTACTCATTTTTGTGATAAGTCACACAATTGAACCATTTTTATATAAAAAACAAAAATTATGTGAAATCTTTATTAAGGGCGATGATAAATTTCAATTTGTGGTAGAAAAGTAAACGATATAATTGCTAATTGGGTGGTATTTATTTTTTTTTCTAATTTTTTTACAGTAAGTATATTGAAAATATTAGAAATTATTTAAATTAAAGAATAATTAAAAATAATATTATTGTAATTAAATAAAGCAAATCAAAAGACATAATCCAATTTATCAAAATAAGAAACATGTGAGTATGTTTACAATAATACTAATCCGTCTACACTTTTAAATATTAGTATAATGTGATAGTTTTTATATATGCTTCCAAAACCTTATGAAATAATACGAATTAAAAAAAAAATCTAAACTATTTTTTTTATTACCGTCTATTTTCTTAGAAAGAATATTGATTTTGACAACCATAGGTTAAAAACTCTATTTATTTATGAAAATTACATACATAAAAAAATTGTCAATTTTAATAATAATAAAACAAAATTGACATTAAATTCAGTGAAAATAGACATTTGCTCCCACTTATTTATAGTGAAATATATCATATATTTTTTTTGCATCTCATTTGTAATGAACTAATTAATAAAATTATTTTATACACCTTTTGTTAAGTTACTCAATTAAATAATCATTTTATGTAAAAAATAATCAAGTTAAACTGTAATATACAATAAAAAAAATGTAAAAGAATTGTATATTAGTTATATTCATCTTTTATAATTTATTAAAAAACAAATTAAATGTATTGTTAGGAAAGAATGGTAATATACCTTTTTAACATTTACTATAAACCTTTTGAAAAAATGTTCCTAATAAAAATAAATTTAAATAATTTTTATCACTTACTCTTTTAAGTTACGAAAAAATTTAAACTTTTGAAAAAATTGTATATCAATTATATTTATCTTTTATAATTTATTAAAAAAACAAACTAAATGTATTGTTAGGAAAGAATGGTAATATATCTTTTTAACATTTACTAAAGACCTTTTATTAAAATGTTGCTAATAAAAATAATTTAAATATATTTTCTCGCTTACTCTTTTAAGCATATTTGCATTTTTAAAGATATATGTGTCAAGAAAATAGGACACATCAAATGTTTCCAAAAATGGCCAATATTTTGGCATACAAATGTGAAAATTAAAGTGCACAATAAGATAAAAATAATAGTTTTAATTTTCATTCAAAAAAATCTTTTAAAGTAAGTCAAACTATTTAAACAAAAAGTCAATTTTCCACTTTTGAATTAAACATCAAAATAATATGGCTTCTCTTCTACACAAACTTGAAGAACTCGTTTTTTTTTCCTTTAAAAAAAAAACTGCAAATTTGGTCCAACTCGATTGAAAAATGCAAATTTAGTCCTAAAATTTGATTCCTTCCTTTCTAGGGTTCTAGCTATGAACATTGACTAACAATACATGAGCGAGACTGTTAGTCTTGACAGACGTGGGACCAAACGGGCAACGAAAAAATAAAAAGGATCATAAATGGGACCAAATTTGTAATTTTCTCTATAAATATGTATTTTTGTTACAAAAAGAAATGTGAAACACGTCAACCCGTCTAACAATTAGGTAACCTTGTACAATATTTTGTGATAAATAAATAAAGGACCAAACATCTATGAGTACATCTACTTAAAGGCTGAAAAACTAATTTTGACAACATTTCATTTCAAGTATTTCAATAGATATTCAAGAGAAAATGGGATTAGATTAGATAAGATTTGAATAGATGTTTCATAAAGCAAAAGGTTAAAAGTAACAAAGGAGAGGGTGTTTTCACAAATTCAAGAAAAGGTACATAAATAGGGAAAAGCATATATGCCAACAAGCCAAACAATACATCTGTACTGGAAAGACCTGAAAATGAAACAGCAGCACACCACAAATGATGGCTTTTTATTTAGTGGAAAGTTTTGTACAGATTTTGGACAACTCAAAAATTTCCATGAAAACGAGAGCACGATGTTGAGTAGGAGAATCTTACAAGGCCTAAAAAAGTGAAGAAATAACATTAACGGTGGAAATGAAAAAGAGTTCTTTTTGCATCAAATGTTTCAATGTGAAACGATAAGCTAAGCCTGCTGATAAAGCAAAGACAGACAACAATAAATACTACCACATATATTTCAGCTAATTGCCAAGGAAAACAAAAGACATTTCAAACTGATAAAAAGATCTAATTTGAAGTTTAAACTACGAACCACGTCTCAATGCATCCACACAACATTTTTTTACCTAAGCACAACACTCAAATTTCAATTAGAGAAATACTCATAGCAAATCACTTAGTCTGGTATCCACTGCAAGCAGAATCGATATTTCCCTATTCGAACGAAAAACGCAGTCAAAACCAGAAGTAAAAATACCTTTCGATCAATTGTCATCCAAACCCATCTCCCTTCGCCTTATTTCCAAAGCCATTCTCTCGTTCTCGAGCTTCATCCTCTCAATCTCCATCCTCATTACCTCCAGCTCTCGATCCTTTTTACGACAAAACCTCTGCCACTTAAATTTCTCTTTCTCTAATTCCAGCATTTGGGCCTCTATATGCAGCCTCTGCTCCTCCAACTGAAGCTTATTCCAATGGCCCGCCTCAGTTTTTCGAGAGATCACATTCATTTTCGCTCCCTCAGCACACACACTATCATTTTCCACCAAAAAATTAACACCAAGAGAATTCTTGAAGCTAAATTCCTCATGGCTCGGGCATTGTTTGACTCTCTTGCCTGAATTCTCCTCAAACCCACCAAGCTCATCAAATCCCACCTCCCGATCGTCAATTTCATCATTCTCTTCATTCAAATGCCTTTTTAAGTTACCTTCATCATGATCTTCTCGGCTCCTCATTGCCAACCTCAAAGAATGCTGCAAATCCGGGTCAGGCGGCAAGTGCAAGCGGTTTCCATTATGGTACGAGCACATCTCCTCGTAATGCAAATGTTTCGAACTCAGAATCTTCCGGACCTCGTCTTTGGCCTTTTCGGAAACATGGTCCATCAAGTCCAAAAGCGTGGGATTCTCAACAACCTCGCAAGAGGTCCCCCTCCCCAAAATTTCGTTCAGCCTCTTGTAGCGTTTGTTAAGGTCGTTGAATTTATCTTCACACTGTTGGGGAGAAACCAAGTGGCCGCGTTCAGCCATGACTTTCGAGATGGATTTCCATTTACCCTTTTTGTGGTGCAAGTTTGCGAATTTCTTTCTCGGGCCATGTTCGGGCCCAAATTCCTCGGTTATGTACGAGACGGCCGTTATTAGCAGCCGAACCATTGTGTCTGTCCACTTCACGCGTTGCCATTGGGAGGTTGACTTTCTTCCCCTGTTAGAACTTTCGGGGTTGTCTTCGGTGAAACTCGGATCGTCTTCATCGCTAGCCGAATTAGTTTTCTGATCGGGCTTGTTGTAATCGGTTAGGGATAACGGGTGGGTTTCTTGAGTGGTGAGGGGAAAATTCTCGTGGATGGTTTGGGGAACGAGCGATGAAGATGAAGGTCCTTGCATAGGGTTATTATTATTATTAAGGTGGGATGTAAAAGGGGACAGTTGATGATGATGATGATGGTGGTGGGTTCGTAGATCGAAACCCACATAAGAGCTGTTGTTATTGCCTTGCATCGTGTTTCTTGGTTTGTTCCGGTAGACGATTTTGTTATAACAAGAGAATCATGTGAAGTGAAGAAATGTGTTCAATTTCACCACCCAAAATCTGCAGACACAAGTATGAATTAACTACCCTTGCCTTCAAATTAACAAGAAAGTTTAGGAAAAAAATAAATAAATTGCATGATTGCAATTTTTAGACAAAATCTTGAAGCCCTTAAATTTTTGCAAGCAGGGGGTGATTGTCTTTTTTGTTTATTTTTTTTTCATTTCTGCGATTCAAAGTGGTTGCATAAGTAAGAGTTCTAACTATTGGTGAAGTAGAACCCTAATTTTTACAGACCTAAATGGAAGCTCTACAGCATCAATTGAGATCAACTCATTTCTACAGAAGAAAAAGGAACATGACAATTGAGAAAATGAAAGACTTAATTTTGGGATTTTTTTGGTGCCCGCAAAGAACCCACAACAAAAACCCATCATCAAAATCACAAGCAGAAACCTATTTTTCACCACTAAAGAGCAAATACACTAAACTTTGACATGAAAAAACAACAGCAAGAAAAAAGGTCCAATTTTTACACTTGAAAAAAGGAAAAAAAATAATAATTATTCAGCCAAGAACTTACATTCAACATCCCAAATCCTGATTTGAGTTCGCAGCTGCTCAACCTGAAATGTAGAACAAAANGAAAAGAAAAGGCAAGAATGAGTTATCTTGAAAACCTTCTTAGAACCTCAAGGCTGAAGAGAAAAAGAATAATAAGAGGTGAATAAAACTAATAAAAAGGGTGAAAATAGGTAGTTGAGGATACAATGTATGAGACTATGAGAGAGCATCCCTAAGGGTCCACAGAACATTTTTTTTGTAAGAACTTTGCTTTTTTCATAGGAGACACGCTACAAACACACGCATCTCCTACAAGGAGGACCCAAAAGGCTTATGTCACCACTGAAAGAGAAAAAAAAAATAAAAAAAATATAAAAAAATAAAAATAATAATAATAATAATTGTACAAGTCGCCTTGTGAAGAACAGTAATTTTTTTTTCTTTGCTTTGGAAGTACATAATTGACATTTCACCTAGATTGAAATTGGGTTGTGAGGATTGATAAAATAGTCCAAAGGGGTGATTGGCAATAATATTTGGGGTATAATTTGGAAAATAAGGGGTGTTAATTCGATATGAATTTAATTTAGTTTTGATTGGTTTTTTTGTTACCTAGAGTTAATTTTGAAAAATATAGTATAGTTAGTTGCTAGTGAGATTTTGAATTTATATTAAAATAATATTTAAAATAAAAAATTAAGTTGATTTTATGCAAAAGTATGAAAGACATAATGTGAAGTGATGGTTAATTAATTAAGTGAGTAAAGAATAGTGAATTAAAGTTGATGTGATTTGTAAGAATGATTGATTTGTATTATTATTTAATTATATTAATAATATTAAGGATAATGAGGTTGAGTTATATTTAAAAAAAAATGATTGAATTAAAAATTATTGGTTTTTTGAGTTAGATCTATATTCAATCACACCAAAAGGATACCAAGTTTGATAATAACAGGCAATGGTAGTGGCTAGTAACACAGAGGAGAGAATGCTAACACCTTCTAGTGATCAACCAGAGTTCACTGGTAAGTTAGAAGTTGAAGTTAAGCAAACCAGAACTTGGAGAAGAAAGAATGATAAAGCTGGTAGATTACAGATGAAGCAGCTCAACAAAGGGGAAGACACTATCATCATGCAGAAAAGGAGACCTGCAGAAATGACTGAAACCAACTCATCTCAGAATCAACTCCTTCAAGAGGAAGAATCAAGCAGGAAGAAACAAAAAATACAAGGGACAGTGGTGAAGGCAGCCAGCCATAAATGACTCCCACCTCCTCAATGAAAGCCATGGTGTGGAGTTGTAGAGGGCTGCGCAAGCCCTCTATAGTTCCCCAATTGCGAGAGGCTTGTAAGTCTCACCATCCAACTTTTGTATTTTTATTAGAAGTTAAAAAACATATATCTTTTGTTGCAAGAGTATGTCAGAATATAGGTTTTGAAGGAAGGTGATTGTATGAGGAACCTTAGGGTACAAAAAGGGGGATGTTACTATGCTGGGACAAGGAAGTGGATATCTTGGTTGTGGTGAGAAATGGGTGTAGTATCCAGGTTAACTACTCTACTGATTCTGGGTCTAGAAGTGAGTGGGTTGTCTTTGTGTACCTTAGCACTGTGAAGCAAGAAAGGGAAATGCAATGAGAATTGCTTTTGAGAGATAGGGATAAGTGGGGGGAGAGTTGGGTTATTTTGGGGGATTGGAATGACCTGAGTGATCCAGAGGAGAAGAAGGGAGGCAGAGAAAGACCTTTGAGAAGCTTCCAAGGATTTAATAATTTTATAGCTCAAATGAGTATGATTTTGCTGAGAATGGAGGAACACAAATTTACTTGGGGAAACAACAGGGTGGATGAGGGATTTTTGGAAGAAGTTCTTGATAAAGGATATGCCTCTCTGGAATAGTAATCAACCATCCTCAAGCAAAAGTTACTAGTCTGTTCATGAGTGCATCTGATCATGGGATGTTGTTACTGGAAGATGGGAGCAAGGGACTTAGTTATAAAAGAAGATTTGTTTTTTTATAGAAGATGGCTCCAAGAAGAAGGTATAAAGGAGGTGGTTAAGAACAGCTGGCAAGAGGAAGAATGGGGACACCTATGTTCAGACTAAAGAAAAAAATTAAGAAAACAAGAGTTGCTCTCTTTAAATGGGCAAATGTGTTTAAGTCAGAGAAGAAGGAACCAATTGAGCACCTTACCTTGAAGCTAAAGGAAATGAGGAAACTAGGAGGGGATAGGAATTGGGCTCAATGGGAGAAAATACAGCAAGATTTGAACAAGGCACATTGTTCAGAGGAGGCTTATTAGCATCAGAAGTCAAGGGTTTTATGGCTTAGAGAGGGAGATCAAAATACCAAATTTTTCCATGCCATGACAGTCCAAAGGAGGAAGTAGAATGCCATAACCAGACTAGTTGAGGGAGACAGGATTTTTTAATCTCAGAGTGAAGTTGAAGGGCATGTGGTGAATTTATATGAGAATCTTTTCACATCAGAAGGTTCTAATAATGAGAATGAAGCCCTGCAGAATATTGAGCAAGTAATTACCCCTCAAATGAATAACAGACTGATTGCATCAGTGGGTGAATTGGAAATACAGAAAGCTTTATTCCAAATGAATCCAACAAAGGCACCGGGTGAAGATGGAATGACAGCACTATTTTATCAACATTTCTGGCCAGTGCTAAAAGAAGACTTGTGCAATGCAGTGATCAGTTTTTTCCAATCAGGTAGACTACTAAGGTACTGGAATCATACCTTTGTTGCCTTAATTCCAAAGTGTGTACAGCCCAGCTCTATTTCTCAATTTTGACCCATAAGTCTGTGTGGGGTGGTGTATAAAATCATAGCAAAGATTTTGGCTGAGAGAATGAAAAATTGTTCGGATGTTTGCATTAATCAATCACAGGCTGCATTCATTCTAGGCAGACAATTGATGGACAATTTTATAATTTCTCAAGAATGCTTCCACTACCTCAATAGACATGGTTCTGGGAGTAATTGCTTCATGGCCTTGAAGTTGGACATGCTCAAAGCATATGACAGAGTGGAGTAGGGGTGTATTTATAGTACAGTGCTGAAAATGAGTTTTGAGAAACAATTTGTTCAGTGGGTGATGAGCTGTGTTACCTCCCCTACATTTCTTTCTTGTTAAATGGCCAAACAGCTGGATATGTGTGCCCATCTAGGGGCATAAAACAGGAAAATCCCATTTCTCCATATCTTTTTCTTATTGTTTCTGAAGTGTTCTCTTCTTTGATAAAAGGAGCAGCTGACTGTGGCAGGTTCAAAGGGCTGAGAATTGCAAGAGAAGGGCCAACTCTTACTCATCTTCTATTTGCTGATGACTCAATTGTCTTCTGCAAAGCTGAGACTGAACAAGTGCGAAGATTGTTGCACCTACGTTCAATGTACTAGACGTTTTCAGGACAGAAAGTGAATCTTGCAAAGTCAACTGTCTTTTTCAGTAGAAATACTCCAGACCAATTGAAGGACAGAATTTGCTTAATGCTAGAAGGGATTCAAGCTCATAACTCAACCAGATACTTGGGACTTCCTTTGGGAATAGAGAAGTCTAAGAAAGAGACTTTTGATTATGTGGTGCAAGCAGTGAAAAGTAGATTGTCTAATTGGAAAAGCAGACATCTCTCTTCAGCAGGTAAAGAAGTACTTATAAAAGTTGTTATTAATGCATTGCCAGTGTTCTATATGTCATGTTTCAAGTTCTCTGTTGGAATCTGTGATGAGCTTAGTAGAATTACAGCTTTCTTTTGGTGGAGTAAAGATAAAGGGCAGGAGAGAGGCTTGCACTGGAAGAAATGGCATAACATATCCATACCTAAAGACAATGGAGGTCTAGGTTTTCAAGATTACAAACTCTTCAATGAAGCACTATTGCTGAAGCAGCTGTGGAGAGTTACTACAATGCCTGAGCTGTTAGTGAGTAAGGTGCTCAAAAGCAGATACTTCCCTTACTTTTCTATATTAGATGTGAAAAGAAGCTCATCAGCCTCTTGGATGTGGAATAGTTGGGTTGATGTGATTCCCCTGTTAGCTGGTGGTCTGATTAGAGAAATCCATGATGGCAAGCATTCCAAAATTCTGGATCACAGCTGGGTGCCTAAATTGAACCATAAAAGCCCAACTCCTGTGCCAAATGCTAATATGTCTGTTATGGGGGTCAGTGATTTACTTGATGAAGCTGGTACAACTTGGAATGAAAGTCTGCTTAGGGAGCTTTCTCATAAAGGGACGGACTGGCAATTCAGGAGATCAGCACATTAGATCCTACTACACCTGATATCTGGAAATGGTATTATGATGTAAAAGGACAGTTTTTTGTGGAAAACTCCTACTTTCAATTGATGAAAAGCAAGACCCTAAATATCACTGAAGCAGAGAGTAGTA